GAGGCATAACTTTGCAAGATGATAGAAAATATACATATTGTTCTCTGCCCTAGTTCCTAGCACAGAGTTTCTAAAATCCTTGTGATTTCCTAAATAATAAGAGCACTAGAAGCATCTTTTGATCTAATATTTGGTCTTTGACCCTCATTCTTGACACAGAGTTCTTAAATCCATTGGGATTTCCTGGGTGATAGCAGTCTCTTTCGTTCTAATGAGGTGACTTTTTAGTGGGCTCCTGCATGGGGGCTGGTCACCAGAAAGACCAAGCAATGACTAGAAGCTTGGATCTTTCATCCCCACCCTCCATTCTTCAAAGAAGGGAAAGAGGCTGGAAACTGAGTTAATAATTAATCGTGCCTATGCAATAAAGCCTCCCTAAAAATCCCAATAGTATAAGACTGGTACATCCAGAGAGAGCATGGAAGCTCCTTGCCCCTTACCACATACCTTGCCCCATGTATTTCTTCCACCTGGATGTTCATCTGTATTCTTTATCATATCCTTTTGTAATAAATTGATGACAAGTAAGTAAAAGGTTTTCCTGGGTCTTGGAGCCACTCTAGCAGATTAATCAAACCCAAGAAGATTGTTGCATTATCATAGATGGCTTGGTTAAATATTAATAAGGGAGCAAAGGTAATTAGACATTGACCTTATTAAACTGGAGAATATAAGCCTCCTTGCTTAGATAGGAAGCTGTAACATATACAGATTCATTCACACAGTCCAGGGCACTGCTGCTGAGGAGGCTTAATCCCAGGAGCACAGGAAATCTCCCCAGGAGCACTGTCTGCCCTCTGGTACTGGATTGTTGAGGGGTGTAAGGGGAGGTGCTTGGCCACAGAGGTCTGTCAGTCTAACTAGAGGGTGGACCCATCAAAAGCCTTGGGAAATTGGTTGGTTATTTTGAAAAAGCTCCTGGCTATAATTCCAGGGAACAAAGAGAAGCTCTTCTGCTCAGTGACCTGCACTTGCCCTGTTTGTTCGTGCATTCTCTCTCTCGCCCAGGAACACATGCAACCATGTGTGTCTAGCAGCAGCGTGGGCCTACAGCAGACCTCGTGGGCTCCAAAGGACTGAGCTTTAATATAAAACAGAAACTAGCTTTTGTCTTGGCCTTGCTGAAGACATGGTTGGATGTCTTCCATGGTGGGATGAATGGAGATGGGACATTGGAAATCCAGGGGCAGATTTCCACCTGAATAAACCTTCCACACCACAATCTTCCATGTGTGGGTCTGTGAAATGCTTCTCGCGCAATTCCACCAGCAACAATTTCGCGCAATTCCACCAGCAACAATTGTGGGAACCTTCAATTTATAGTCAGCTGGTCAGAAGCACAAGTGACAAACTGGACTTGCAATTGGTGTCTAAAGGGGGTGGCAGTCTTATAGGACTGAGCCCTGAACCTGTGGGATCTGACAGTATATCTAGGTAGATAGTGTTAGAAATTATTTAAACTGCAGGACACGCAGCTAGTGTCATAGACACTTGCTTGTTGGGAAAGGGGGAGCACCCCTGGTGTCAGAAGTGTAACTGTAAGAGCAAAGGAGAGACACTAACTTTTTTCTTCTCAAACTTATTTACATACAGTAATATGAAGAAAGCCAGATATATTTAAAGATTTTATTTTTTTTAGAGAGAGAGGGGAAGGGAGGGAGAAAGAGAGGTAGAGAAATATTGATATGTGAGAGATACATCAGTTGGTTGCTTTTCACACGCCCCCAACTGGGGACCCAGCACGCAACCCAGGCTCATGCCCTGACTGGGAATTGAACTGGTGACCTTTGGGTTTGCAGGCTGCCACTCAATCTACTGAGCCACACCAGCCAGGGCCAAATATATTGAAAAGTAATTATCCTTCTCTTTCTTTTTAAATTTTATTTATTTATCTTTAGAGGGGAAGGGAAGGAGAGAGGGAGAGAAATATCAATGTATGGTTGCCTCTTGTATGTCCCCTGCTGGGAACTGGCCTGCAACCCAGGCATGTGCCCTGACTGGGAATCAAATTGCAGTTGTTTGGTTGCAGGTCCGCACTCAATCCACTGAGCTACACCAGCCAGGGCCCTCCCTTTTCTTTTTCTCTTCCCCTAGAATTGCATATGGTGTGGGTTGGTGATGGTTAAGTTTGTCATTTTTGTCCACAAATTCCACAATATACAGGGGGATCATGATGGAACCAGGGAAAGAATGGATGTTATAACTGGACATGGGTTGTCTCCTTTTGGAAGGAGCTGAGTGTATTTTTGTTTGCATATCAAATAATTATATTGTTAGGCACAGGCATTTAAAAATTGTGTATGTTACCAAAAAAGTGGGAGGACGTTGCTAGGCAACCCACAGTTGGAATGCAGAAAACATCTGTTGTTTTTCTCTATTAGCATTCTATCCCCTTCTCTTGTAGACTGCCTCCTCCCCCACTGCACACTGGCTTGATGGGGCTGTCAATCATTGTTCTCTGCCTTTCCTTAGTCAAAGGATGGCCTCCAATCTCAACTAGGCCAACTGGAAGTGCTTCCTCTGGAAGAATATTTTAGTGGGAGACAGGAGGACAGAAAATGCTTGAAGCTGATTCATGCAGGGGCAGCATCCTGAAGAGACTTTCTATTCATTTCTGTTACATAGCCAGGACTTCCCTGAATTCTGGCTGCTCTGCTTGTCTTTTGACTTAATGAGTTTTCATATTTTATTTCAAGAAATTCCTTCATGTTTCCCCTTAAGTTATCCAGAGTAGGTGTCTGTTGCTTATAGCCAAAGGATTTTATTTTTTTAAAGATTTTTAAAAATATTTTATTTATTAATTTTAGAGACAGGGGAAGGGAAGTAGAAAGAGAAGGAGAGAAACATCCCTCTCATGGGCTTCCCACCAGGGACCTAGCCCACAATCCAAGCATGTGCCCTGACTGGGAATCGAACCAGCAACCCTTTGGTTCACAGGCTGGCACTCAATCCACTGAGCCACACCAGCCAGGGCTAAAGATTTTATTTAGTTATTTTTAGAGAGAGGGGAAAGGAAGGAGAGAGAGATACATGGATTAGTTGCCTCTTGCTTGTGCCCAGACCTGGGACTGAGCCTGCAACCCAGGCAGGTGCCCTGACCAGGAATCAGATTGGTGATTTTGTGCTTTGCAGTGTGATGTCCAAACAACTGAGTCACACTGGTCAGGATGAGTCCCTCACCATTAAGCTCAACAGCAGGGTCCTATAGCAAAAGAACAATAAAGTCAGTTAGAAGAATATCATAGATAGGGAAGAGGACCCTGAAATGAGATATCTAGTGATCCAACTCTTTCAACACATGAATATAGTAATTTTCTCCCCAGACAGACCAGCACAGTGTCTGGGTTGGAAAGGTCAGGAAGGGTCCCAGTCATTACTGATACCTTGTGTTCAGAACCACTGCCTAAGTATGGTCTTACAGGTTTTGTAATACGAAAAATTGGAACCGCCACTCACATAGATAACGATGCGAATGGAGTCCCTGGTGTCATGTAGTGTGTTGACCTATTACTCCCCTTTGGCATCTTGTGACAGCCTCATGTAGCCTCCTCCCTAATTTTCCCTCAAGTGTGCAGTTGAGCTTCCCTGAAGACAGGGCCACACCGATCCATCAGATGGGTTTGTATGTGCCAGAACCAAATAGTAGACATAGATGAAGACTTTGTTTCTCAGGGGGTTCCTGGGAAATCCACATACACACACTGAATGTTTGTGTCCCCCTCTGAATGCATATGTTGAAGCCCCAACACCCAGTGTGGCTGTATTTGGATATAGAGTCTCTAAGGAAGTAATTAAGGTTAAATGTCATGAGGGTGGGTCCCTGATCTGACAGGATAAAGTGTCCTTATAAGAAAAGACACCAGAGCCCTGACCAGTGTGGCTCAGTTGGTTGGGCATTGTTCCACAAAGTGAAAGGTTGCCGATTGATTCCCATGTGCCTGTGTTGCAGGTTTGGTCCCCAGTTGGGGTGTGTGTAAGAGGCAACTGATTGATACTTCTCTCTCACATCAGTGTTTCTCTCCCTTTCTTTCTCCCTCCCTCCCTTTCTCTCTACAAACAAACAAACAAACAAACAAATAGGAAGAGACACCAGAGGCACGCTCCCAGCAGGACACCCGGTCTTCCCTTCCCCCTTCTTCTTCCCCCAGAGGCACGCATCTCCTGAACTTTAAGGGACCCCACAAGACTTGCAACCAGGGGCACAATGGGCAGCAGCAGCTCGTCCTGGGTTAACCCCCTGAACCTGCCCCATGGCCCCCTTTTCTCTGACTCTCCAGTGAGCTGACCGTAGCCCTGCCTTGGATCACTTCTTTCACATAAAATTTCTACAGCCACAGCAGCCCCACCTGGGCTCTCTCCTGGTGCTTTTTCTACTCTAAGTCTCTCCTTGTTTCACTGTACCCAGCTCTAATAAATGTTAAAATAAAAGAGGCACCAGAGAACTCTTATTCTCCCTCTCTGCACACACATGCACTGAGAAAAGTCCATGTGTGGACATAGCAAGAAGGTGGCTGTCTGCAAGCCAGAGTGTTTGCACCAGAAACTGAACTTGCCAGCACCTTGATCTTAGATTTTCCAGCCTCTAGAACTGTGAGAAAACTAATTTCTGTTTTTTAAATGACCCAGTCTCTGGTATTTTGTTATGGCAGCCTAAGCTAAGACAGATTTAAATAGATAAGTGGAGGTGGAGAGAAGGGTATTAATGAATTTCACTCATCAGAAGCACTGACTCCCAAGCTGTGTCCAATCTCACTAGCCACCTTGCTACAGGTGTTTGTTGTGGGGGAGAACAGGTGAATGAAAAATTTGGGAAAGAATAAACCAACTCTACCTGTGTTTCATGTTTTCTTCAATATATAATCTTTGTGTATGTTTAACAAAGATTAAGATTGTTACACAAAGATTAAACAGAAATTATATTAATTAGTAGGGAAATACAAATGAAAACCACAATGAAATACCACTTCACACCTACTAGGATTGCTACAATAAAAAAGACAAAGACTATACTTTCAGGGATCATTTCTACAGTTTGTTACTAGAGAAGTTTTTCTGAACACGTAGAGCGCCTGAAACCACAAGGAGGAGGGAGGTGCAGCGCCCTTCCTGAATGTGAAGCGGCTGTTGGTGTTTTGCAACCACTATTGGCCGTTGATCATTCTTCTCTTCCTTTGAGAGTGTAAGAGGGAGAGGATGCAGTCATAGTGGTTTTTGTTTTAAAAAAAAAGACAAAAAAAGTGCTAGAGAGAATGTGGAGAAACTGGAACCTTGATATATTGCTGGTGGGAATGTCAACGGTGCAGCTACTGTGGGAAATAGTTTGGCAGTCCCTCAAAAAGTTGAACATAGAGTTGACATATGACTCAGCAATTCTACTTCTAGGTATATACCCAAGAGAGTTGAAAACATAAGTCCATACAAATATGTGTACCCTAGTGTTCATAACATCCTGACTCATAAAAGCCCAAAATTGGAAACAACCTAAATGTTCATCAACTGATGAATGAATAAACAAAATGTGGTATATTCATAAATTAAATACTATTCAGCCATAAAAGGAATAAAAGAATGATATATGCTGCAAAATGGATGAACCTTAAAAACATTCTGCTTAGTGAAAGAAGCCAGACATACAAGTCACATACTGTATGACTCCACTGGTATGAAATGCACAGAATAGACAAATTCATAGAGATAGAAAGTAGATTAATGGTTGTCAGGTGAAGGGTGGAGGGATGGGGAAATGACTGCTAATAGGTATGGGGCTTCTTTTGGGGTGGTGAAAAATGTTCTGGTGTTAGATTGTAGTTGTGATGGTTGCACAACCTTAAAAACAGACTAAAAAATGACTGAATTATACACTTAGAAGGGTGAATTTTATGGTATGTCAATTATACCTCAATAAGGAAAACTAAAAAGGATAACAAGCTACTTCTGTATTTATAGACCGACCTTGAACAAACAGACATTTGGTAACACCATCAACTTTGAATTTTCTACCAAAATGCTAAGCAAGAAACAATCAGAGAACAAGGAGAAATAATTGATTATAAATTATGAAATGTTAATTTTTTTTAAATCTATATTGGATACAAGGCTAATTATAAATGGAATACAAAGTTTTACAAAGTGCAAGCAATACCCAAATGTGTAATGTAGAAAGTCAAAGTCTCCTATAACCTTCTCGTATGAGCTAATGTATATTATCAGTTTAACAAATCCTGACATCTCAAATGCCTAATAAAATAAAAGTTTATTTTTCACTTCTGAAATCCCAAACAGGGTTTCATCACTGTGCAATAAACTGCTTTCTTCTAATCAATGATTCAGGGACCTGACTCCTTCTATCTTGTGCCCTCATTTTGACTGAACACAGAACTTCTAAAGTTGATACAGAAGGAGAAAGAGCATGGAGAATTGTCCACAATTCCATTGGCCAGACCTCAGGCACATGGCCATAGCTGTCTATGAGGGAGGCTAAGAAATGCAGTGAGTGCCCAGGAGGAAGAGGAAAAAGATTTATTGAATTGTTGACCAGTGTCTGCTACACCCACCCCATGGATAACTCTGTCAATGGTTCTGAGCAAAGTCCTACAATTATTCTGTATGCAAATACTAATTTAATAGTACTTAAATTTTTTTATCCTGACTGGAGGACATTTTTTCTTTCATTGCTGTAGAGAGAGAGAAAAGTAGATAGGTAAACATCAGTGCAAGAGAGAAGCATCAATTAGTTGCCTCCTGTACGTGCCTGGACCAGAGATTGTACACACTTGGATCAGGGCACATCCTAGGTATGTGCCCTGACCAGGAATCAAACTTGAAACCTTTTGGTTACCAGATGACACTACAACCAAGTGAGCCACCCAGCCAGGGCCAATAGTACTTTTTAATGAAAATGGAATCACACTATGCATACTGTGCATGAGTAGGTTGATTCAGATATAACCTACATTTATTTGTCATCCATATACACTAAGAATTCAGAATACACTGCTTCAAACCTTGGTTATCTCAAGCAGACATTACACATTGTTATTCCATTGTTTTTCCTGCTGACTTGGATGCTACTCAGCACACTCTGACAGGGGATAGCCTGTGCAGATGGCTAATTCCAACCGGCAGATTTGACTGGGGAGCTGGGCAGGGGGTTCACAGCTCTGCTGAGGTTCATTTTCCGAGAGTTGCTTTCTTTACTTCTTGAAAAGACAGACTTAGCCCTGGATGGTATGGCTCAGTGGATTGAGTGCTGGCCTGAGAACCTGGGGGTCACTCGTTTGATTCCCAGTCAGGGCATATGCCTGGGTTGGGAGCCAGGTTCTCCAGTGCAGGTCATGTGAGAGGCAACCACACATGGATGTTTCTCTCCCTCTCTTTCTCCCTCCCTTCTCCTCTGTCTAAAAATAAATAAGAAAAATCTTTTAAAAATTAAAAATTATATTAATACGTTATTTTTATTTTAGGCTCTGACACAGTTAATTATTCTCTTCGTGACACATTTTCATTATTGGTCCATGCAACAATGTTTCTCTCCTCTCTCCATGTATGACTTTTGTGGCATGTGAATTATACTGTTTGTCAGTCTATCTATAGAGAAACACATCCTTTCATTCCATAGCACACTTCCTTTCCCACCCCCTAGACAATGACCATAATGTGTTTAATACTATCTTTGTGCTTGTGTTCTTGCAAAATGTATTGTTTTGTGTCCATATGTTTTAAATTTGCACAAGTGGTTTGTATTTATTCTGACCTTTTAAAACCAGCACCATTTGTAAGTTCAGGATTCATCCAATGTTAAGTGTTCACGAAGTCACTGTTCCCCATCGCTGTACAGTAAGTACTCCATGGTGTACACTTATCACCTTTTATTTATTTACTGTCCAGATGAGAGGAACCCAGATTGTCTCCACTCCTCTGCACCACAGATAAAATTCTAGTTGGGACTGTGTGGGAATTTCATTGAGATAAAGATTCAGAAGCTGATCTGCTGGGCCATTAGGTATACATACACATTGGACCATGTGCCACCACCTTGCAGTCTAAAAGAGTTGAACCAGCCTTTATTCCTATCATGAAAAGCTCTTACTTCCCCAACAAAGCTCGTCATCTCTCCGTCATCGTTCTGCCATGCAATATCTCATTGTTTATATATTTCTGATTATAATTTAGACATCTCTTCATATGCTTTTTAGCCCTTTAAATTTTCTCTTGTCTATTGTCTATACATACCCCTTTCTAGCAATGATATTAAATGGAAGTTACTGTATTTTTCTTGTTTATATGTAGGAGTTCCTTGTCTTTTCGAGATCAGGGATCAGCAAACTATAGCCCACAGGCCAAATCTGGCACACCTCCAGTTTTTGTAAATAAAGAGTTGTTGTTGTTGTTGTTTAACTTATTGATCTGAGAGAAAGACACACACATTGATTTTTCTTCCATTTATTATGTATTCATTGGTTGATTCTTCACTTAATCTTAGCTAAAAGGCTGAGAAGCAATTGTTGGTTAATTCTTGTATGTGACCTGACTGGAAATCAAACCTACTACCCTGGCCTATTAGGACCAGGGCGACACTCTAACCAACTGACCAGGGCCATGTAAATAAAGTTTTATTAGAACAAAGTCACGCTCATTCACTTATTGTGTCTATGGCTGCTTTCCTGTTACAATAGTGCAGTTAAATAGTTCTGTCAAAAACCATCTGGATCACAAAGTCAATCTAAAATATTCACTGTTCTCATGGGCATGGACCACAGTGCAGTGACTGCTGGGGGGGAGGGGGGTATAAGGGGACTAAATGGTAATGAAAAAATATACAATGAAAATTAAATCAATTAAGCCCTGGCTGGTGTAGCTCAGTGGATTGAGCACAGGCCTGTGAAGCAAAGGTTGCTGGTTCGATTCCCAGTCAGGGCACATGCCTGGGTTGCAGGCCAGGTCCCCAGTAGGGGACACATGCGAGGCAACCACACATTGATGTTTCTCTCCCACTCTTTCTCCTTTCCTTCCCCTCGCTCTAAAAATAAACAAATAAAAAAATTAAATCAATTAAAAAAAGAAAAACACATTTAAATTAAATAAAATATTCACTGTTTGTTCCTTAACAGAAAAATTTTCCAAACTCTCCTCTAGATAATAATCTCTTATTAGCATTAGACATGGAAAATATCTATTCTCATTTTGTCATCTTTTAACTTTGTCCCTAGAGTCCTTCATGGAACCAAAAATCTAAGTTCAGGAGACTGTCACCTGTGCTAAAACACAAAATAGAAAGTATACTTAATACATGGGTGAATTTGGCTAAGGAGATTTCCTGGCAGAATGTTCAGAGTACCCACTGGTTTCTCAGAGCTGTCAATGATAAAAAGGAAGACAGCAGCTAAAAAGGGACGTGTTCCGGGAGAACTCAGAGGACGTATGAAGGGCTCAGGCAGTCCTTCTAGCCATCAAATGTTTTTCAAAGAGAGAAGAGTCTTAGGATGAAGTCAAGAGTGGATTTTCAGACTCTTTGTTAAGACTTTAAAAAGTATTAGGTGCATGTTTTTTAGAGCTGCTCTCTTCTAAGAATACTAGATTGCCTCTTATACTCTTTTTCTTCCTAGACGAGAGCTTTTAAGAGTCTTCAGGATGTTTCTTTCCTTCTTTTTAAGATTTTATTTATTTATTTTTAAAGAGGGGAAGGGAGGGAGAAAGAGAGGGAGAAAAGCATCAATGTGTGGCTGCCACTTGAGCAGCCCTTACTGGAAACCTGGCCTGCAACCCAGGTGTGTGGCCTGACTGGGAATCAAACCTGCAACCCTGTGGTTCTCAGGCCGGTGCTCAATCCACTGAGCCACACCAGCCAGGGCAGGGTATTTCTTATAGCATACTGAATCTCAGACCAAGGTAGAGAGAGGCCTGTCTTAAAGACATAGATGTGGTTTTTTGAGAACCTAAATAAAATTCACAGAAAAAACAAAAATTTAGAACTGCATTTGTAGACAGAAGCACTGCCAGCTTCAAATAAGAGTTCAAAATAAAGAGATCCCTTGGAACTACCAACTTTTTATGGGCAAGAAGCAGGCTGTAAAAGCTACACAGCAGCAAATATGAGCCATTTCTTATGGGAAAGAAAAGATAGCTCAAAATGAAGAACCACAAGTTCAGAAGGCAGAGCTAAAAGCCAGAGAATCATTCCAGGGAGCAGGATTGGGTCCCAATCAAAGA